GGGCGGTGCCAATAAGCTTTAGGAAGCTGGTGAGGAAGCGCCAGCTCGGTGTGCGGGCATTGGAGCTGCAGGTTGTGGAGGCGCTTTGCGTTGTGCAAAAAGTTGAATCTGGAGATGAAGGGGATGATGATAAGAGACTGAGCCCAGGCCCCGGAGCATAATGGTAACTCATAATATCAATGTTGCGATGGGGGTCCAGATTTCATGAACAGGTAACTTTTTATAAGGGTGTTAGAGATATGTGTGGGTGTTTTTCCTGTCATTTCCTGTGGACGACGAATTGTAAACTGACTATGACAAGTTAAGGTATCAGCGGAGATCTGTAGAGGAGGTGTAAAGGTGGCTGTTTGGTTGTGGGGTTTTTGGCCTTTGCTGAGACATGGGCTTTGATTCCATTCTACTCTATCAAACCCAGTAGATACCTCGGCCCTCGGCTCGCGCAGTATCTTTATCTTTGTTTTCTGTTTTTTTGCGCTGCTTTGCCCTATTGCTGCTGTGTCAAAATGAATTTCTCCTTAGGGGGATAAATAAAGGAATTATCTTATCTTATCTTATCTTATCTTAGAGGAAAGCTTATGGAGTGTAAAATTGGAACGGTTTCTCCTCTGGGGGGCATGAATGTGTCATTTATATATTTACGGGAGTGGTCCTCTGGATAAAAAGGTCATCATTATCTGATCACTTCTGACCTGTAATTTTACTAATTCATTGATTCATTGTCCTCTCCATTTGTCCCTTGGTTCTGTTATGTTTTTTGTGGTCCCCATGTGAAGCCTAATGATTTAGTTGATCCTTTGACTTTTCCAACTATATGTAGTATGTTAAGCAAAACAAGTTTTTTCTGTTAGAAAAAACGAAATTGCTGTGGAAACTGTCAAGACACGTGGCTACACATGACAAAATGGACATTTCTGATTCCACATATTTATCATCATTACTATTATCAGGTGTAATTTACACAGGTGTGTAAAAACTACAGGTTATTAACTTTTTAACATACAAAACTGTTAATTATCGGTTATCATGCCTCCCTTATTTTTATTACATGTTAAATATCAGATTTACAATCAATGCACATATGATTAAAAATTAATTTGTTCTATATCCAATTGTACCAATCTTTTCATTTCTGCATCAGACTTAGCTGTAGTCACTAGGGGTTACCCATTTTATCCCATAAAAGAGGCTGTATTGTCAAATATATTTCATCCATCAAGAAAAAGCAACAGATTATCATTTTTTCTATCCATCTATATTGTAATAGTCCAGAATATATGTGTGTCAACAGTTCAGAAATTTCAGTTTTCCTGGAAAATGAAAAAAACAAACTTCTAGTAACAAAAAAAAAACAAAAAACAGATGTTCAGTGTGGACATAAATGGTTTAAATGTTCTGTTAGTCCAATATGTGGGTTTATATCAAAACTAATGACATTCCCAGCAGCCTCAGCTATACTATATGTTTAGTGCTAATGTTAGCATGCTAACATGCTAAACTGAAAAGGTGAACAACAAAAAGACTATACCTGCTAAACAAACATCAGCATGTCAGAGCGCTGCTGTGGAAATGTGGGCCTGGTGTGGAGTTGTTGATATGGAATAATGATTAAGAATGAAATAATGAGACTGAAACATGTACAACAAAAATAAACTATGGACTGGTCTGTCTACTATCCCTACAAAAAAAAAAAAATCAGCTTTAGGAATCAAGTTTATTTGTACCACTGGGAAAACAAATTCTCATACATTTTATTCATGTCAGCATGTTAATGTGGATTACACTGGTCAGCCTGTTTTAAATAAACCCAGTTCTTCACTCAATCATATGTGATAATGGTGCATAAATGTTTTTCATGAATGTTTCAATATCTCATATTGGATGTCAGCAGTTTTACAGAGCAGGGTGGTGCAGTTTGCATCTGATTATCAGCCTCACTGTGAATGTGCTGAGACAGGTAGGTCCAACCTGCAGACACTGTCACCATGATGATGGCAATACAGAAAATAAAATCATAATTCTAAATTGCATAAATTGTTATAGTGCTGTTTTATTCCACATTCGCTACAGTTATTCATTTGTTCTCTTCCATTACAGTTTACCTGTATTATTTTCTCCTAAGATATGTATTTATTATTCAGCATGAATTTAATTTTAAAAAAGTAGTAATAATAGGACCTTTAATTAATCAAGCAGTCTCATTGATATTAAGATATCATTTCAAAGAGAAACAAGAAACATTCACAAAAGCCCAATCCACAAGCAGAAACAAACAACACACTGAACAAGGAATTCATTAAAACCGTTGGAAAAATCACAAAAGAACACCAAATAATGAAGCTTTATAACCTCAAACTGGATTACAACACTCAAGTTTGAGGGCAGTTCATTCTTTTTAAAAGGGGCATGGTACCTGAAACCAGTTCTGCCAGCATTAGTGTGGACATGAGGGGTGATGTACTTAGTGGACTCCTGGCTGTCTGAAGGGCAGATAAAAAGGACACCAACATCCAAAAGTAGTGCTGCATGGTGAAAGTGTTTGAGAACTGTTTCTAACATGTAGGGGAGTCTCTAAAGTAGAAGAGTGACTACTGCTCCTACCTTGTGACTGAAACTTATTTTCTGTCCCAGAATGACTTGATTACACTAATGAGATTTATATTTGTTAGCGTTATAAGTCACCCACTAACTTTTATGAGCTGAACTACCTTTCAAGGGCCAATACAACAACCCATACAAAGAATGTTTGCATTTTTCATGGGGGTTATATTTAGAGAGTATAGCATAGGTTATGGCTCCATCTTAAAGGGCACCCATTAGTGCAATTCAGGTTTTCTCCACAGGAAGGGTGCCCTACGTGGGCCTTTATCATATTTACTCCAGGATAGGGATATGTAAAAAAAAAAAAAATAAGAAAATAAAAACAATGAAAAACATATGTAGATAAATGTAGAAACTAAAACTGATTTTTATCTCACAATAGTAGGGTGTAGTTGGCTGTCTCTTTTCTTAAGCATGCAGTGTTTCAATTCAGTTTCTCAGCAGAGGAAACAAAAAGTTTCGTTTTTTAATGAAGCCATAGCTTTTATGGTTGCGCTCGTTATTTATACCAGGACCTTCGGGCTAATGGGTGGAGTTAGCCATCTCATGGATGGAGCGAAATGGCGTTGGGTGCAGCGAACAACTCCACAACACTGGAGCAGACTTTTACACAAAAACAGATTTTTTGTGGCATTCGGATAACTCTAGCGAGCAGCGGCGGACCCCGTTTTAATTCCAGTATCGACTCCGCTTACATGGGTTTCGGTGTATGCCGGTTTAATGTAAAGGCGAACCCGGCGTGATGTGGCACTACTCTGTGTAAATGGGTAATGTAGTCATTTCAGCCATACCTTATATCAAATATTTGCGCTAAAAACTACAGCACCCATAGTTCATAGCGAAGAAGCGATTCCTGTTGACATCTGCCGGTAGTGTACTCACACGCTGACAGTTCATTCTTTGGAAGGTACCTATTGAAATAGAAAGTTTTACAGCGTGTATTTAACTTCTAATGTGTTGCGGTACGTTTATGCTAACAGGTCTTCACAGTGATAAAGCTAATGCGGCTAGGGAAGTGGCAACCAAGCTGACAGGCTAATGTTAGCTAGCAGCACAGACACAACGTTAGTGAGCATCTTTCATGATAATATGTAAAAGTTGGTAAACATGGCGTAAGGGAACTTTTGTTTACAAATAATAAATAACAGTTTATTGACTTTGGCGCGAGCTGTAGCTCTCTTCTCCTGTCCGTAGAGAATATTGTTAGGTCGTTAAAAACACCTGACTTAATGTCACCATCACTTTAGCAACGGGTTACGTTTTAGAAGATAATTTCGGATCTCGGGCGAATCGATAGTATCCGTGCTTAACTTCGGCGTAAACCATATTCACCAAGCAGCCTTATTTACGCGAATAATCTGATGTTAATTCAAGGTATCACGGTTACTCTCCAACCAGCACAATGCTACTCCTCTGCACACACAGCTATTACAGTCAAATATTTAACTGCTGTTAGGTGTTTTATTAGGGTTCATTGTTATGCCGAATACACCACAGCTCCATGACGATGTGTTACATTTGCTTATAATGTCCTACCTCGAGTGTAATGTGATTGTAGTTTTTAAAAGCAACTTAAAACTCACAGCTTTTCTGTGTGGAGTTCAGTGGGTATTAAGATAGACATGCGCCGTGTCCATAGATAAGCTAGAAACCACACTGCCATCAAATTTCAGTTTACTGTTTCTGTCTGTCTGTCTGTCTGTCAGTCTGTCACAGGAATAAGCTGGAGAACCAGTGGATGAGCGCAGAGAACAATGTCTCCTCCACGGCTCACAGGTGCACTGCGCTCCTTCTCCACTGTCAGCAAGAAGGAGGACTTTACTGAGCAGCTCAGTGATCTAAAGGTAAGGCCAGCTTGTGGATAACTGTAAACTAGTATTGTCACAACAGACCTTTTTCACAGCGGCTATTTTGACATGAAATAGTAAGGTAAACACAGGTGATACCTATGATACTAATTGCATGTTGGCTCACTGGAAAGGTTAATGGAACGGAGTTGGGAAGTAAAGCACAGGTCCAGTATGTAGTGTTCGGGAGGATCTATTGAACCAATCACAGTTTCTGTTTACAATAACCTACAGGTGCATATGCCTACGTACAATTTCATAGCAGCAACATGTTGAATGTTTTCTATTTTCATGTTATTTAAAGGGTATACATTGAGTTCATGTAAAATGCATGCTTTAGGCTTTCTATCTCATTAAAAACAACACTTTGGCTAACATAGGTCGAGTTGGACCACTGACTAAAGAAAATGACAGCTTGAGGGTTAGGGTTACTTGAATGTTGAACCGCCGTGTTTCTACAGTAGCCCAGAAGGACAAAAAACAAACACTGGCTGTAGATAGGGCCTTTCGCATTCCTTGTGAGTTTTCGTGGCCACTGCGTTGATGTTTTATGCAGTAACTACAGTTCTGGTAATGCTGGCTAAAATCGTATTAACCACAACTAGTAGTAGTTGATTAGTTGAGAAGGACAAGAAATAGAACTGAATTTGCGGGCTCAGTAATCTGTCAGTTAACTGACATTTCCGTGTAAGTCAGTGGAGTACCCATTTAAAGTCCAGGTGAAACAGCAAGTGTGCTTTTTGCTTCTGCATATTTACACATTTCATGTAGTTCATAGTAGAGAGCGACGTTAGTGCTGTGTGTTAGCTGCCCATTAGCTGACTGCTGGACAGGTAGCTCCCAGTGAACAGCTCAGTCACACTGGGACTGAATGCAGCATCTGAAGGTGACTGAGGACAGTTTGAAGACAGGGAATAAAGTACTGAGGTGTTGTTATTGCTGTTATAGCTAACAAATGATTCTTTGCTCTATAGTTTGATTGATTGACAGGTGAATGGAATGATATTATTGGTTAGTTCATACTTACATAAGCACGTGTTATATCTTCTTTTACAGGAAGGCAACATTATTGGATTTTAATATGAAAATACAAAGAATTAAATTTTTTATTTGAATCTAAATAAGGATGCAATCTTAAAGGGTTACATTTTTCATTCCACCTGGACTTTAATGTATGGCTGAATTCACAAAAACTAAATCATTAATATCCATCATGATGAATGTCAAATGAATCGCGTCAGCATATTTCCCCTCACTAAATATTCTACGACGTGTCCTGCTTTGACACTCACTGGATGGTTCTATGTTTGGCATCAACTACAGCAGGTTGTTTTCCTTCCAGCTCTGTGAGCAAGCAAGTAATGTGATTTTGCACGTTTGTTGTATTACTGGAATATTTTATCTTCGATGACACAGCTTGCATACTGTATGGCTCCTACCCAGCTCCCTTTCCCCCTCCACATGGAAAAATACAAATGTTTTCATTTTGGATGGATAGAATATCCAAAAACACAGATGTAGACTCTGCACTATACTCTGTTTTCATTTATGATTAAAATCAACATCCAGTTTTTAGTACGTGGAAGCGGTGACTGTACCATGAGAGTGTGTGATCAGAGTCTGCTGTGTAAGTGACGCTTAATATGTGTAGCTCTGGAGCAGGAGATAAAATGTCATGATAGTTTTTATATGATAACTTCCTGGAAAACAGTATATAATAGCACCGGTAGTGCTATTGGTTGTAGGTAGTGAGAAATGAGCAGTGATGCATTGACACACCCCTAATGCCACATATTAATCATATATTATTGATGTTAGTAAAATTCCTGCTGTTGGCCATCAACATATACAGACACTAAATATGTGCCTGATGTCTGGTACAAAATCTGCAATGGACATTAAGTTGGACTGTGTCAATACTGGATTTATTATCAGCTGCAGGGGATGATAAAAAAAGAGACTCTGCACACCTGTTTGTGATTTTATTTTTCTCTGACCTATTAGTGGCATAGCAGTGTGATGCTTTCTCCATCCAAAACCAACAGTCTGCCACCTCCGTCAGCTGTTGCCAACTCACACAGTACACACAAGACTCTAAACACTTGACAGAATAAAAACAGTTTATTGAGCCTGTCATGAACACACAACACAGTCAGCTGCCTTTGCTTAGCTGAGCTTAGTTTAGCTTAACTTAGCCTACCCAGTGGTTTTCAGGTCCATACCCTACCCTACACTGCTTTAGCCACTTCATTGGAATACATTTCACTGCTGCTGTAAACAGAATTTGCAGTAAATAATTGACGCCTTCCTTCTACCCCTTCAGGTGTCATTCCCAACAGGGAGATGCTGGATGTCAATATGCACTTGTTTCCCTGACAGCTTGGAATGCATCATTCCGATAATCTTTCAGTTTTGGGCAGTACCAGTGTGTATGTGTGCATGTGCCCCCCAATCCCGACAGCTGTTTCTGGAGGCTAGGGGGATGTTTGTCTTAGCAATTCTACAATATGTGGTGTTACTTTTGACACAATCTCCTCTGCTCTCCGATTGACAGTACTGTATCTAGGTGGGTTCTGCTGGGTCGGATCCTCCATTTTCACTGCTTGGCTCTCTGTTTTTTAATAATCTGTTTTTTGCTATTGCCATTTTACAACCTTGACAACCATTATACCATCTCGAAATCTGCCATATTGTCACTCTGTGTCAGTGATTTGTTTCTCAGATCGGTTGCCTCTTTCTTAACCCAGAAATGAAATTGTGGACGGTATTCAGCCCTTCACTTTTACCTGGTTCACCTCCACTTAAATCCAGAAAAGCAGAAAAAGTGCTTCTACAGGGAAAAAGATGGCTGGAGTCACTGAGATTATCTGCCAGCTTGTGTTAAAATGCTTAGTTTTTAGAAAACCTAGAGATCCTGATTGTAACAGAGTCATTGCATTAATGCTGCTCCTGACCTCTGAGCCTGAACTGTCACACCTACTCAGATTTAATACCTCACAGCTCTAATGGGAGGCGCTTCTTAACACTGACTGTCCTACAACTACTACCACAACTACTGAGGATGCATGTGTACCTACACTATTAAAGCACCTTTGACGTACCCAGGGTAGCAGAATTTCAGAACAAAAAGATTCTGTACACAACATAACCGATATGGATTTTATTATCAGCTCACATTAAATACATGTTGTTGTTCAAATTTAGAGAGTGAGCAGTGAGAAGGCAGACAGAGACACGCCTCTAATTACTGTTTATAGTTCTGTTCTGTGCCATGAAAGTGCCAGAAGATGTTATTAAATTAATTAATATTATACTGCGTAAAAAATGAAAGCAAGATATACAGTAAGAAATAACTGAGTGTGATGGATATGCTGTTAACAAGGCATTTCATTTATAGGGTCACAGAGTAGCCTATACTCTGGTACTGCAACAAACTGGAACAAACTGACAATATTTATACAAATATAGGAATAACTTTGAATTCACAGGAGGGAACAAATACTTAAGAATTTGTCATGGACAGCATTTCACAAAGTTTATAAAGTCACCCCTAACTCAACAACTCAAACAACAACATTCTGTGATATTTAATAAGGGAGACTGGGGCTGATTTTCTGCCATTCAGATTACTTGAGTAGATATTGCTCTGGAGAACAGAGTGAGGATAACGCATGAAACACAGAATACATCAAAAATACCAGGTGTAAATGCAAAGGCGAGATAGGATCCTTTATTATCTGGATACCCTGTCCGGAGACAGATCACATTTTAATAGCAGGTGTAAATGGGGTGTATGTGTCAGCCCTGACCCCTGATCCACTGGTGATCTCTCCAGGCTTGTCCATGCTCCGGAGCTTTGTGGAGTCTGAGAGAATAACCCTGATGGAAGAAAGAAAGCCACAGTGGTGTAGAGTTCCAAAGACTTGAATGTTGAAAAGATGCTATAAGAAATAACTTGAAATGTAGTATCACGTGTTTTTGAAGCTTGGAGTTGGCTAACACATTTACAGAAATGTTTATGTGCCTTGTCCTTATAAATAAACAAATGAAAGGAAATCCAAATTATTAGAGCAGTGAGTACTATTCTCTTCTACTATCCTCTTTCTTTAAATGGTTTCTTGTATTTCTCCCTGTGACTCACGTTAGACCAAACGACTGAAGAGACGGGAGCTGTTTGCCAGAGAGGGCCTGACGTGGCAGAAGATTGTCCATTTCTGCAATGAGCATCAGGACAAAGCTAAGCAGCAAGCTGCCAGTCAGGAACTGAAGAGCCTCCTTCTGGCAGCCAAACAGATTGGTAATTAACTCCTCAGCCTCAAATCCATTGTAATTTATTTCAATCTATTTTCACATGTGTTGTGTTTGTGATGAAAACACTGTTAAAAAATAACAGAATGCCGTCTTCTGTTTTCAGACTGCTTGTTTAAAAGGGATTATGAAATGATGTTACTGTGCCTTTGCTTAGAAGTCAGTGGGAGTTTAAAGTTCAACCTTTGTCAGGCCAGTTAAAAGGACAGTTCACCTAAATTACAAAAAAACATATTTCTTCACTTGGCACATAGTTTAGATTTTATTTCCCCAGTTTTCAAGGTGTCTGACATTTCTGCCTCATTCATGACGTCAAAGATTCTGTACCAAAACTATGTCTTCCAAAGAAATAGTCCCTCTGTCGCTGTTGAGGGATGTTTGTGGATTATGCATTATTAACAAGGACATTGTTTCTTCAAAGAGATATTGCTTTAGAATTTTTGAAATGTTGTATTTCAGTGGACATACCAAATTAACCCTCACTGTATTGGAGGCAGAAGTCTCAGAGACAGACATCTCAATACCTGGACAATTCAAACTCACTGCACGACGAGCACGTATTACACTGAAAAATACAGCTGTACACCTTCTGAATTCAAGTTTCTCTATTTTACCAAACTAAGCTTTATTGCTTTGACAACTCCTCGAAAAAAACACACTTCAAACTTGACAGAAACAATAAAACTAACAAAAACCGTCTTGGTCTTCCCACTGTTCCAACACTTGTGGAGTCTTACCATCTAATCGAGTTAGATGTGAAAATATTCTGGCTCTACACGCTGATGGGGGCATGAAATAAAAAAGGTGGTATTCGATGACCTAAGAATAAGAACAGGCAGGATTTTGCACAAGTTGGTTGAACCTGTTCCTTTAACTTGAATAGTTAAACCATAGGTACAGTGACAACAAAGACACATCTTAAGGATATTAGTCAAATTTCTGGTTCATTATTGACGTACTTAATTCAATGTACAATTTCTGCCGCTGAACAATAACAAAGGACAAAGTTCGTTAAAAATGTTTCTCTGACTTCTTTTGGCAGACAAAGGACATCCCAGAGGGGTGCAAGCTACTACTCAACTAAACAAAATATATAACATAAGAAATGTTACATATTAGAGCTTTAATGGACTGTACTGATACATTCACTTTGGCTTTAACTTTCAAATACATCATTTAGGTAACTGGGGTAGAAACTGCCTTAACCTCTAATGAGTCAGGCATTTCTGCAACTTACCAAACTGCACATTTGCTGCTGGTGTCTGATTAGATCCAAAAGCACTGGATGGGACACCTGGAATAGGTTACAAATGTTACAAATGCTGAGAAATGTATCCTGATATTCCATATAAATACTACCTTTGAGTGACCTGCTGTTAAGAGAAGTAGCAACATGTAATGATAACAACAGTAGGACACCCGCCGTCACTCTTGCCGTCATGAGATGTATTTCATGCTCAAACATTTGTTTAATAATAATGCAAAGGGATACGTAAAGATTACAACCAATGTGCCAAGGATACATTTTGGCTGATAACAAAGAAAATGATCAGTTCATCGTGCTAAATAAACAATCCATTTCAATGTCTGAAAATGTGGAATTGTGACTCATAGTTGAAAATCTGAACCCTTGCCACAGAATTGTCTGTCCCACTGTTCGGAAGTCAATGAATTTATTTCAAAATGCTGAGGTGGAGGTCTGAAGTACGGAAGTACGGAAGGCTTACAGATAGTTCTTACAGAACAGACAGTCCAGCTGCAGTGCAGTGTACTGTATATGGTGGATTAAGAGTTTAAGGAATATTAGTCAAAGCTGGGACAGCTCCTTGAAGAAGCTATTGCATGAATCCCATTTCTGGTTGGATTCCATAACTGAACTCACTGAAGACCTTTCTCACAGCATACATGTTGACTTACAGTAGCAGCACAGGTGAATGATCATAGCACATTGCTGTGCCATGTTGTATGAAGATCTCTATGGACCAATCCATACACCCCAGCCACCTCCATATGCGCACTTTTTCGCCCGATATGCTGTCACCTGACACAGATGGGTTACATTTGAGTTGACCCTGATGACATGATGCTAAAGGGTACCTTGTGCCTCTGTATATAAGATGCAGAAGGGCGTGACAAAACGCTGGCATTAATTGCCGCCCTGGGAAAGAGAATGGACTGAGGTGGTGAGTTGAAACTTAGCATGACTTGTAGGTAAAATCATCAATTATTGTTGGTGAGGTTAGCGGAATCAGAAATGTTTCTCTCTCCATAAACTGCATGATTCCTACCACACATATTTCCCCATTCATATATTTGAAACAATAAATAAATTTACAAAGGACCAGCAATTAAGTTTAATATTAATATTTAATATTACATGGCCCTCTAATGCTCCTACTTTTGGAAGTCATGCTGCAGCTTGCTCCAATGACTTTCTGTTTACATAATTGATGTGTTTGATTGGCACTATGGACGTTTCCTAACAACTACTAATAAGGTGAATCACTAGTTTGAAACCAGCGAGTTGTTACCAAGACATTTTGAAGGTCATGACACACAAACATAGTGAGTACCCGGTGCAACCAAGCAGAAACCACCATGGCTAGCAATTGAAATCAACATGGAAGTAATAAAACCTGCAGTTCCTTTAACCGCCACTTGAGGCTCCAGCAGTGAGTCAATCTCCATAAGGCCCCATATTAAAATTTCCAGCTACAACAGAAATAAACATGTTTACAGCCTGGTACCAATAACACCTTTAGGCTCTATAGCTAATTTCCCCATTCATGACAGCTGTATGGATGGGGGGGATTTTTATAGAACTCATCCATTTAAATCATATAGGCTTCAAGTTTTGCACAATTAAGGGCATGGTCACTTTGAGTGACAGGTGGGTGCCGTCACAGGCGGCTGGTTTCAGAAACCAAGCTACATTCAGACTGCCTCAGCTCCACCCACACCACCCAGTGGCTCTGCAGAAACCTATGGGTGACGTCACAGAGACTACATCCAGTTTTACACTCTGCGGCTGTAACCCAGTCCTTTTAATTATACCACTGACCTGCCCCAAATCAATCAAAGAGTAAACAGTTTTCATTTGCTGTGTACAGCCTGTTGTGTTTTGGGCAATAGTTAATGGTTGCTGTCTTTAATACACACTGGAATTAATAAAAATCTGATCTGAGGCAGGAGAATGCATATTCCTCTGTCATTAGACATTTGAATGGATGACTGTATAGAGCCTAGTGGCGCCGACTGGATGTCCATATAATTAGCTCATAAATGTTTATTTAAAGTCCTGGAAAAGTAAAGAGATAAATGAGTATGATCTCATTTGAAAACCCTACCAAACAGGTGAAAATATACTAGATTTACTCCAGAGATAGAAACAGGTGTTTGACAGCTTGCTGTACATGCTGTAATCCTCCCTTTATGACTTCAAGTGTTAGCTGAACTTCACGAGTCAATTTTGGAGCTCTCTCATGAAAGCCAGTGATGATTTTCCTTCAGTTTGCTTTTCTCTGCATTCATGGCAGTATTTTTTTTCCTCCTCACTCGACAGTATTTGTTGTGGTGATGCTCTCCTCCAATGCTTTATGTGTTGAACCTGTCCTCAGCCAGTGTGACTGGATCCAAATGAAAAGTTGCTCTTAAGCACTCTCTGGAGAGGATGAAAGCAGCCATTCTGCTCTGCTACGTGCAGCAACGAGTCTGACGCTTATTTTAATTGGTTTAAATCCTTTTCATCTGTTTTCACTTTCCTCTGCCTCTTCAACCTTCTTCTTCTGTGCCCCTGACATTTTTTTTTTCTCTAATTGGACAATTACTTTGTATTCCTTTTTGTTAAGTGCAGCTCTGGTTAAGCATGAATTGTTTGGAATATTATTTAAATGAGGCGCAAGGATCTTAAACAGTGAGCTCATGCTGTAGCCTTTACTGCTCAGAGGAACAGCTGCTGATCCTTCTTTTGGAGCTATGAGTAGTGCAAAGCTCAGATTTAATGGCCATACAAAACAGCTCTGCTGTCTAGATACCACTGATGATAATAGGAAAGGTGAAGGTGATTGTTGCATCAGGCTTAATAATCCTCATCATTAAAATCACAAGTACATCATATTTAATTGTGCCTTCAGTTTGAATTTTAGGCATTAGGCAAGTTAGGCAACTGACTGGGTCCCCCAGCAAAGAGGACACCTAATAACTATGGATGTATTGTGATATTACACATACCTGAATGTTTTGGTAGTTTGTCCCAGCTGTTGTGTTGAGTCTTCTTGTCTAATTCTCAGTGGATTGTAGATTAGTAGATTTAATCCCTCAATCTGTTTCTTCCAAGAACTGTTACTTGAGATAACATTAACATTCCAGGGGCATAATGTTACTGAGTACAAAATGCTTCTTAATAACAGTAGGTCAAGTGGCTAAATCAACTTCTGTGCAAGAGATGTATTTGAGTGGCGGAGAGTACAGTGTTATTCTGCCGATTATTCCATTGATTATTTGATTAATCAGATTAGAAATACTTTTGATTTATTACAGAGCAATAGTAATTATACAAAAGAGAAAATAAGAGTTTCCTCTTTTTTGTCCTGCAGCGGGGAGAAAGGCTTCTGTTGCAACCACCACTGTACTTCTAGTAGAGTATTTTGAAAGTGAGGTATTAGTACGTTTGCTTACTTAAAGGTCCAGTGTGTAACATTTAACAGGATCTATTTTTTAGGAATGGAATCTAATATTCATAGGTATGTTGTCATTAGTGTATAATCACCTGAAAATAAAAATCATTGTGATTATTGTGTTGTTTTTGTTACAGCCTAACTGTACCTGTGTGTCACCAGCTGAGCCCTCCCCTTTAAGGTGGAGTCTAGCGGGTTGCTTGTGAAAGTATTGTGTGTGTTTGTGTGTTGATTGTATAAGTGTGTAGATAAGCTCAGGTTGCAGTAAAATAGTTACTGAAAGCTGTGTTATGTTGCTGCCACAGAAAAGAAATAAAAAGTCCCTGTTTATGTAACGTTGCTGCATTATCTTCTTGTTCTTGATGCTAGCTAGTTAGCAGATACAAGTCAAGATAAATAGCCAAATAAAGCCGCACCCAATCAGATGATGGATTGCATCTTCTCTTTAGATTTCATTTCTCTGGAAAAAAGCTGCTAGCTAGCTTTTCACAGTGAAGCCCTGACGTTGTGCTGCTGTGCTATGCTAGTTCAGTTTTACCACAGACACACTGTACAGAGTTTTCGTTTTGTTTCAGCTTAAAATTATCCAAAATCTTGGACATGTTTTCTGTGGCGTGATCATCTGTGCAAAACACAGTGTGCTGTATGGCTGTATACATTGAGAGCTTTAGTTATCAAATTGCTTGAGTTTATCAAGGAGACATTTCAGCTCATGCTACGCTAGATTTTTTTAGTTTCTAACAGTGGTATAAAGCGCAAATTTCCCTCTGAAGTGTTGTGTATAGTATGTATAGCGTAGCATGAAATGGAAATACTCCAGTAAAGTACCAGTACCTCAAAATATTCCTTAAGTACTGTAATGGAATAAGTGTACTTATTGACCTTCCACCACTGCTTTATAGCAACATTCTTGATTTATAGAGCAGGTGAGAAACAGCCATTAGGGAGGCTCCATGTGTGGGATTGCCAGGGGCACCGAATTACTGAATCTGCTTCTGCTGCAGTAAACCCTGCGGCCATGACATCAAAGTGTAAATATGTTGTGTTTTGTTTTACAGTGGGAACGGAACATGGTCAGGAGGCCATTGAAAGTGCAGCCATCTTTTTGTTTGAAACCTTCCACAACAAAGACCACGTGGGCACAGAGGAGACCCGGGCCATCAAACAGATGTTTGGTCCCTTTCCTTCATCTGCAGCTGAAGCCTCCTGCTCCTGTGTGGCTCAGCTGGTGGCTTCACTAGGAGAGTCCCGCGTTGAGGACTTTGTCCAGACCCAGAGCTCCCGTCACAACCCCCAACGAGGCTCCACTTTTGGACGCAACATTGCCTTCTCATATGACTGCTACACACTGGAGCCACTGGAGGACCTGCCCTGCTCTGGCATCCATGAGGAGAAAGTGAGCCTGGACTTCATCAACTTCCTCAACAACCAGCAGAGCGGGAGGAAGATGGGTGCTGACGTGTCCAGTTCAGAAAGATCTGTGAGCTCTGGGGATGGAACCATCCTCAGAGGAGAGGTGGAGAAGTATCTGAATGGAGGCAACATGATCTCATCCAGCCCAGAGGAGCTGTGCACCTCCCTGTTTGAAATGCTGGCCTCCCACAAGAGTGACGATGAGCTGCAGAATGAGGTTTGTGTCACTGGGAATTACAGTATCTAAATTGTTGTTGATAAATTGTTATTGGGAATCCTTTTAAACAGGTTAAACGAGCTAAAATTTGGTTATTGCAGCTCACTACCTGTTTCATCTAGAGACTTGATACCTATGATTCTAATGGACTGTTTTTATTTTATTTTTTCTGTCATCGTAAAACATTCAGAGAAAGTTGTGGTTGTTTTTCGTCAGCTGTGAGTAGTGTCTGCAAATCCTTGGACTGTCTGTTAACCTTGCGAGGCAGCCAGAGATCACAAAATCTTCCCAGGCTTTAATCTTTGCATTTGTGGCCAAAGTGGCTACGGACATATCAGTGTCCTTTAAGGAAGTAAGGCAAAAACAGATCCGCAAGTACCTTGCTCATTTAGTCCTTTTATGGCTAAATCAAATATAAACTGTAAAAGAGCTGGGAGGCAAAGGTACTATTTTTTTAAGGTGGACATGTTCCCTCATCCCCAGTAGAAATGACAGCCTTTACAGTCATATCACACATTCTGGCTCAGTCATATCCAACTCTCAGGTTCAGCCTGTGAGCACATTACAAAACAGGAACTAGGTATGTCCAGGGCGAGTCCAGCGCGCGACCTGCATTGGACATGCAAGTGATTTTAGTGTTCAGAATAGCCGACGACTTGTGTGTCATGTCCCTGTATCAATGGGCTGCTTAGCAGCAGAGTGTTCTGCTCTTTTCTGTTCAGTTACCTTCTAGACTGTTCCTACACAGGAGCGTTAAGTGTAGTATCGATCCGGACCTGTGGACAAATGTCAATTCAATTCAATTTATTTGTATATCTGCCAATCTCATAAAGAAGTTTCGTCAGGACATTTATCAACATAGAGCGAGGTCTAGACCGCAACTCTTATAACATGGTTACAGAGACCCAACAGTACCGGACCATGAGCAAGACCTTGGCACAAGGGCAGCGATGGACGACCTGATGCTGACCCAAGACCCTTGGCCAATACAAACATTATTAATCATGCTACTGGGACGCGTCACCCAACCAGGAAGACCACACAAATGCAGAACAGACTCAGCGAAATGAAATAATCAGGGAAATGAATTTATTCAGGGGAAAGGAATGTGGATGCAGGGATGAGGGGAGCCTTGAGCTGAAGTTGGTGGGCAGAACAGAAGGCAAAAACGGCTGGAAATGAGAAAGGGACAGAGATACTGGAGGCAAGGTGATCCTAGTCAACAATCCAGAGAATCTAATAACAAACACATATCTGTTAACACTTGATACACAATGCGGGTGGCCACAGAAATGAAACTACCACCTGCGGGTGAGTACCAGCGATCTTGGCAACGACAGTGGATTGAAGAGTACCGGGGGTTGATATAACCTGGCTGTTGATTAGTGGATTGGGTTGCAGGTGAAAGCGTGGCGCGCTTGGAGCAGGTTTGATGGTAGATATTGGTTGGTGAATCTGCGAGAGAGCTGTGCATGCCACATAGACGATGAAACGCCCACCATGTAAACAATAACACCTGACCACAAT